CTATAGGTATTTGAAGAACTTGTAGCAATCCGCCACAATTCAATTCTAGTCTGGCTCACAGACACGCCCCCAATGAAAGAATAGACCATTCCAAGCTTTTACTTGTTGTTAAACAAATGTTTAAACATTTCTATTCAAAGATCTACTAACAGTTATTTTCGTGCCTTTCCTCTCATCATTCAGGCAATAAGGTTTATGTTTGCTGATAAAAAGTGGAAAATACTTAAATGTATATAGTAGATTAAACTTCCTTTAACATAATCAACGAACCTTTCAAAGATGCCAGGAGAAGCTCCTACCAAGGAGTTAAATACAGTAATGAGGAGTCTTTAAGACAACTATATTGACTCTAGATGCTGTGGACTTTACGTAACTTATCTGATAATGTCAGGAGAAGCTCCTACCAAGGAGTTTATTACAGTAATGAGGAGTCGTTAAAACAAGTATCTTGCCTCTAGATGTTGTAAACTTTACATAACTTATCTGATAATGCCAAGGAGTTTATTACAGTAATGAGGAGTCGTTAAAACAAGTATCTTGCCTCTAGATGTTGTAAACTTTACATAACTTATAATGCTAAGGAGTTTATTACAGTAATGAGGAGTCGTTAAAACAAGTATCTTGCCTCTAGATGTTGTAAACTTGACATAACTTATAATGCCAAGGAGTTTATTACAGTAATGAGGAGTCGTTAAAACAAGTATCTTGCCTCTAGATGTTGTAAACTTTACATAACTTATACTGCCAAGGAGTTTATTACAGTAATGAGGAGTCGTTAAAACAAGTATCTTGCCTCTAGATGTTGTAAACTTTACATAACTTAACTGATAATGCCAAGGAGTTTATTACAGTAATGAGGAATCGTTAAAACAAGTATTTGGACTCTAGATGTTGTAAACTTTACATAACTTAACTGATAATGTCAGGAGAAGCTCCTACCAAGGAGTTTATTACAGTAATGAGGAGTCGTTAAAACAAATATCCTGAATCTTGGGTGGTCATGAAGACAGTGATTCGCCGAACACTAGCCAGTTATCTGGAGATCTAAAGAGACAACAGCTTACCTACTATGTAATAATTAAAAAACAATAACTTTGTTTCCCAATCAGCCAAGAGCGATATCGACTAGCACAGCACCGTGGAAAGTAATTGAAATACATGCTCTGGTCATAATAACTGTAACCGAACTCTCAACTGACACTTTCGCGCTCTGGGGCCTTTAATCGAACGCCGGTTTCCCTCTTGGTATCACAAAGTCGAGGAGCTACCTCGTAAAGAACTACAAAACTTGTACATGAATATAAACTTACGTTATCAAGCTCGTGTTGGAAGACCCAAGTCAGGCCTCTTACCTTCACACAGAGATTATTTCTCAATTATTTTGATAATTATGGAAAGGAAATTAAAACATAATGAGCTGTTTGCTTAATTACATACCGAATTATATTATAGGAGGTTTACAGGTTAGCGAGACTGTTTAATTAAGAGTAACTTAATGACTTATTTACCGATTATCTTGGTTATGCTGAATGGTAATGGCGATGACAATATTTGTAAAACACTTAATCAAAAGCTTTCTTTGTTTTTTAAAGTTGGAGAGGAAAACGAAATGACAAAGCGTTTCACTTAATGCCTTTTAATTAAACGTAACGATTATACATGTACAACAAACTTTTGTTCACCTCAAAGAATGGCTAATAATAAAGACGTTCTAGATAGGGCTATTGTCTTCATCTGCGTTAGAATATAAATTTGGAATACAGTTTAAATAACTGCTCTCAGTTTACTTCTGTGAAGAACAAACCAGTACAACGTGACAAGTATTTAAATTTCAATCGTGTAGATTGACGTCTGTTCAGTTACTTTCGGTTTATTGTTAGGAGTTCGTTAGATCAGGTTCCCTTTTTAAACTAGAAATATTTTAGTGGGCAGAAATAATATAATAGGAAAGTATAGACTACAGATTTCAATGAGCAGGAATGATCTAATAGGACAATATAGACCACAGATTTAAATGAGCAGGAATGATCTAATAGGACAGTATAAACAACGTGAGCAGGAATGATCTAATAGGACAGTATAAAAAACGCGAGCAGGAATGATCTAATAGTACAGTATAAACAACGTGAGCAGGAATGATCTAATAGGACAGTATGAACAACGTGAGCAGGAATGATCTAATAGGAAAATATAAACTACGCTTGTGTTTCTCTGTCCGGAAATTTTCTCGCAAATTTCTCGATCAAACGCTACAAAACATATCGTTAGAATGGTCTTTGAACGAGGAGTCCGGATTGTTATTGGCTTTTACATTCAGAATTAATTTCCTGTTTTTTTGCTTAGTCACATGAGTATGCTACACGATGGCACAATGTCGTCGTCATCACGTGACGACTGGCTTCGCCTTCAACTTTATTATTTTTTTTTTATTTGCAAAGTATTTCACACAAACAACACTTAACCCGTGTGTAATTTCCTAGAAAAATTTACATTACACTAAATACAATTTCTATGGGTTTTCTCGACATACTTGGGTCTAAAATATGCATGCGCAGTTCGTTTAAAGCCATATGCTTATCACTATGTGAACACGCAATCAGACGTTTCTGCATATTCAGCTGAGTTTGCCTTCACTACAACTTTACCTTTACTTTGCAATAAATTAGCTTCGGTTCGTTTAATAGACTGCTATAAACACCCTTTAGCTATTTTTTTTCTTTAGTACGGATTTTATTTTTCGTTTTTGTTGATTTCTTTGTTTCATCTCGTAAAACCTTGTCATACAGTGAACGATTATAACTGTTTCATACTCTTTACACTATTATATATTTACCATTACTATAATATATTGTTTACTTTACGTGTAGTTTTAGTACACAAAGTTGCGTCTACGTGAGTTTGTTTGTCTGATTGTGTATTTTTATTTATTTTTTTTCAAATAGACCAGAATTTATCGATCTAACACATAGTGCCTAAAAGAAAGGATAGCTTAAATGTTGTACGTGGAAATGATAGGATAAGAAAAATTCAATTGAAAGCCATGAAAAGTACCGCAAATGTTTTGCAGGTTGCGGCTAGTTTTAAATAAATGTCTTGAAAAAGATAAGTGTTAAGAAAAACAAGAGATCTCGGTAAAAGAGGTTTTTTTTTTTGGTTTGAAAAAACACAATTATCTACCAAAATAATCCCAGGGCGAGAAAGTCTAAAAAAAACCATAATTATCAATAACAAAGACAGTAAGTAAATCTGTTTAGAACGTCATTTATGGATTACTGTATTTATAAATCCTCGCTGAACTACACACAACGTCCACCTTGGACGAAACAAACTGCTTCACCGAGTAATGAATGGTTTCTACTGAGTACTGATTAATGTGGAGAAACTAGAATTATCCCAAGATATATATTTTCATTTTTAGTTATCTTACATATTTTCCTATACTACAAAGTATGGTCTGCAGAAAGGTGTTTACAGTGAATCATACGACACAGGCCTGTGGTAAAATTACAGATTCTGTTACATCTCGTGGTGCTTTTCATGAAGAGAAGAATATCTCATGATATTTATCACGAAGAAAAGTCTGTCTTTTGATGCTTATTATGAAGAAAAGTCTGTCTTATGGTGCCTGTTATGAAGAAAAGCCTGTCATATCATACTTATCGTGAAGAAAAGCTTGTCATATCATACTTATCGTGAAGAAAAGCCTGTCATATCATACTTATCGTGAATAAAAGCCTGGCATATCATACTTATCGTGAAGAAAAGCCTGTCATATCATACTTATCGTGAATAAAAGCTTGTCATATCATACTTATCGTGAAGAAAAGCCTGTCATATCATACTTATAGTGAATAAAAGCCTGTCATATCATACTTATCGTGAATAAAAGCCTGTCATATCATTCTTATCGTGAATAAAAGCCTGTCATATCATACTTATCGTGAAGAAAAGCCTGTCATATCATACTTATCGTGAATAAAAGCTTGTCATATCATACTTATCGTGAAGAAAAGCTTGTCATATCATACTTATCGTGAAGAAAAGCTTGTCATATTATACTTATCGTGAATAAAAGCCTGGCATATCATACTTATCGTGAATAAAAGCCTGGCATATCATACTTATCGTGAAGAAAAGCCTGGCATATCATACTTATCGTGAAGAAAAGCCTGTCATATCATACTTATCTTGAATGAAAGCCTGTCATATCATACTTATCGTGAAGAAAAGCCTGTCATATCATACTTATCGTGAAGAAAAGCTTGTCATATCATACTTATCGTGAAGAAAAGCCTGTCTTGTGGTGTTTATCATGAAGTCCTTCAGTAGGTCAAAGGTAAGTTTACAGATTTGCAACGCTAAAATCTGGGTTTTTTTTTCCCACGGTGGACAGACCGCAGATTGAAATATTGTGGTAGTTATAATTAAGTTTGACCTTATGGCGATGAGCATGAAAAAGAAGCGAAAATCATGAAAATGCAATTTTTATTGTTAACATACTAAGATATGTTTCGACACTCCTGTAGATATGTGCAATAAAAATACCAGTAGGATCTCTGGACCTTGCTGACACAAATAAAACTTTAATTTCCAAAGTTATAGATTGTTTGATTTAGAGCAAAGCCACATGGGACTATCTGCTGTGCCCACTGCGGAGAATCGAACCCAGGATTTTAACGTTGTAAGTCAGCAGAATTACCACTGTCCCATCGAGAGAATAGTAGTTATACATATATTAAGCAAACACAATCAGGACAGATCTAACAGCTGTATTTATGTAATGAAATGTATTGGTCAAAGGTCATTTTCAAAACTGTCTACTAGTTTCTTTATTAAGACGTCGCTTGTGCTTTCAAACAAAATTTTCCTAAGTTATTTATTAAGATTATGACGTCAGACTTAATAAAGATGAGTCGGGGGTTATAACTCCAGGTTGTAACTTTCGTTTTGCTTTTATAACAGCAAGTGAAATTTTATAGGTGAAAGAAATGACTTTTTGTGCTTTAACCATCAAATATGTCCCAGCTCGAGGCTTTACTTATTCCTTGCCTTCATCAAATAAGTCGGAAAGCTATGACGTCATTCATACATTCAATCAATTACTAAGTGGAGGTGAAAGGTTAGGGTGGCTTAATTTATATTTTAGTTCATATATGTCAAAGGCCAACATATAAGCTTCTACACCAAATATAATTTACTAAAGCTTTAGAGAGAACATCATGGAGGATCACAAGATTTTGTTAGCCACTGAACATATGAAATTTATGACGTTTAAGAATGACACAAATACAACTTTAACCTACATTCTAGTGATATCGACTTTAACTTACGTACCAGTGATATCAACTTTAACCTACACACTAGTGATATCAACTTTAACCTACATACCAGTGATATCAACTTTAACCTACACATCAGTGATATCAACTTTAACCTACATTCCAGTGATCTCAACTTTAAACTAGGTGGTAGATACCAGTGATCTCAGATTTTAGTTACACATTAGTGATCTCAGATTCAACCTAAATACCAGTGAACTCAACTTTATCCTAGATACCAGTGATCTCAGATTTTATTTACAGACCAGTGATCACAGATTCAACCTGGATACCAGTGATCACAGATTCAACCTGGATACCAGTGAACTCAACTTTATTCTAGATACCAGTGATCTCAGATTTTAATTAGAGACCAGTGATCACAGATTCAACCTGGATACCAGTGAACTCAACTTTATCCTAGATACCAGTGATCTCAGATTTTATTTACAGACCAGTGATCACAGATTCAACCTGGATACCAGTGAACTCAACTTTTACCTAGATACCAGTGATCTCAGATTTTATTTACAGACCAGTGATCACAGATCCAACCTGGATACCAGTGAACTCAACTTTTACCTAGATACCAGTAATCTCAGATTTTATTTACAGACCAGTGGTCACAGATTCAACCTGGATACCAGTGAACTCAACTTTTACCTAGATACCAGTGATCTCAGATGAATATTATCTCATTTTTAATTCAGACTATGAAATCCATTTTAAGACGTTCTCTTAAAAATACAAAGCCATAACAGTTTACGTGTGACGTTCGTAATGGAAAGTTAAACAGTAAGCGAAAAACTTTCATACACAATTGTCAACTTCTCTTATTGAACGATAAATATGTCCACGGTTCGTTACATGGGAGGTTAACGGGTAAACCAGAATCAGGGAAATAACTATTATACTAGATGTACTTTCGCAGAATCCCCGAAAATTTTCTATTTCAAGAGTAGATAAAAACCAAAACTAAGGGTAACATATATTTTCATTTCTTGATTTTGAAGTTCTTATGTCATGCTGTGTTGTAGCTTACAGAGTGAACAATTCTTCTCGTGATTCATGGCATGCGCAGTTCAGAAATAAACACCAGTAATTTATTGATTTTTGGACTACAGCAGGGATTTTAAAAGTTTCCACAAAGTTAATCATCTTATGTGTAGCTTGCACAGTTAACTTCACTGAAACATTCTGGGTTTTAGAGCTATATTTGCCTCCCTTCCCCTCTAAAGAAACAGAGCATTAATATCAAAAACATAATTTAAACATCAAAGTATTTTATTGGAAATTTTAAAAGAATGAGACACAGATAAGGAAAAAATTTTGAAATAATAATAAATTTCTCTGAAATATTAATTAAGTCTCTGTTAAGATAATTTATGTTTCTTGAGTATTAGGTAGCCTTTTGTTAGAACAATAACAGATTTTCTGAAGATTAGATTCTTTGTTAGAAGAATTTCTATAGAACATAAGGTAACCCGTTGTTAGAACAACAATAGATTTCTTTAGAACATAAGGTAATCCTTTGTTATAACAACAATAGATTTCTTTAGAACATAAGATAACCCTTTGTTAGAACAACAATGGCTTTTTTTAGAACATAAGGTAACCCTTTGTTAGAACAACAATAAATTTCTTTAAAACATAAGATAACCCTTTGTTAGAACAACAATGGATTTTTTTAGAACATAAGGTAACCCTTTATTAGAACAACAATAAATTTCTTTAGAACATAAGGTAACCCTTTGTTAGAACAATAATTTCTTTAGAACATAAGGTAACTCTCTGTTAGAACAACAACAGATGTCTCTAAAACATAAGGTAACCTTTTGTTAGAATAACAATAGATGTCTTTAGAACATAAGGAAACCTTTTGTTAGAACAACAATAATTTCTTTAGAACATAAGGTAACATTTTGTTAGAACAACAATAGATGTCTTTAGAACATAAGGTAACCTTTTGTTAGAACAACAATAAATTTCTTTAGAACATAAGGTAACCCTTTATTAGAACAACAATGGATTTATCTAGTTCTTTAAGGGAAAGACTTAATATGTTTAGAAAGCACGTGAAAATATAGGAATGTCTTCCCTCGATATACGCCTACGTTCACTTTCAAATATGATAGTTATAACAGAAGGAATTCATCAACCAACCTTTGTTTTTATTTAACTCAGCTCCATAATTAAAGTTTTACTGTTTGCGGTAGATGGCGCTATTTCAAACTGTCAGATCATGAAGGCGAGGGTAAGCAGCAACAGAGCGTTTGTTTGTGAACACACTTAGCTCTATAGATTCAACACAGGATTGTAGAAGTATGACGTGAATGACAAATTTACTCTAAATTAACAAACATCTTGTTTAATTTAGACAACTTCTCTATTAACAAGCTGGAATAAAGGACGATGCTTTAATAGTGCTGATAAGAAATAATTTATCTAAACAACCATGAAAGTGTCAGTTTAGTGATAACGAGATTTAATTAGCAATATCACAAGGTTACTATTATTTTAATGCTAACAATAATTAACAGTATATAATATCCAAAATAATAATGTTGTACTAGTACAAAAAAAAAAGAACAAATTATCAGTACCATTAGAAATTTCAGTGGTAAAAATAATATATTAATAGACAATATCAGAACAACTTTACTTTAAAGGGGCTAAGAAATAATTGCCTAAATATTCAGTTCTATTTCACTGAGAACAAGAACAAACTACCAAGACAGAGCTGCTGCAGGAATAATGTTCCTCGAGGTACTAAGAACACATATGTCACAAATTGTTTGTTTACATAAAACTAGCAGTATCACGTCACAGTAACCAATAGTTTGTTTACATAAAACTAGCAGTGTCACGTCATAGTAACCAGTAGTTTGTTTACATAAAACTAGCAGTGTCACTTCACAGTAACCAGTAGTTTGTTTACATAAAACTAGCAGTGTCACGTCACAGTAACCAATAGTTTGTTTACATAAAACTAGCAGTGCCACGTCACAGTAACCAATAGTTTGTTTACATAAAACTAACAGTGTCACGTCAGGAGAACCCGCAGAATGTAATATAAAACTGTGTCACGTCAAAGTAACCGTGCTTAAACAGTAGGATCAGTTTAGGAATTGGATGGGTGACCTGCATACATTAGTGAAATGAAGATAACCAGTCTGAAACCGAATTCTACACAAGACGTATGTCTTTCAACAGTTGAAGCACTGTTTGTAGTACTACAGATCTTTTGATACCAAGTTTCTACAGAATCAATAATTTAACTGATGCTCTTTTCAAACGTTCCTGTGGATTTTCTGTTTGTACAAAAATGGCACAGAATGCGGTGATTTCTGTAACCAATAAAGAAAACAGAAAAGATTAATCTTTCAAATACTGCCTTTTTAACAGAATAAAAAAAAGGCCTGGGCGATCCAATAATATTTCATAAATAAATAACGTATCCTTACGAACAGAGCATTCGTAAAATTTAAGTTTAAATCCATTCACTTCCACATCGTGATTAAGATCAATAGATTAATCACGATAGATTAAATAGATTAAATAAATTCAGTAGATTAATCACGATAGATTAAATAGATTCAATAGATTAAATAAATCCAATAGATTAATCACGATAGATTAAATAGATTAATCACTCCCAGAGAACAAACTTTCTAAATTGGGTGGATGTTATCACCTGCGCTAATTACATGGCAGTGGGTGATTTGAAATTCACCCAAAGCTTAAGTAACGTTAAAAATAGAACGTAGTTTGAATGTTTGGTTTTTATTAGTTTTGATGCATCAAAACCAAACTTTCTTAGTTATGTAGTAGAAGCAGTGTCATGAAAATAACCCTTGAAGAATAATAAATTTGTTCGGAAAAACCGCCCTAGTGACACTAGAAAAAGTACTGGTCAACAAGGTTTTAATGTCGTAGTAACTTACAGGCTGAACATATATAAGGTTTTATTAACCCACAAACTCTCCAGCTTTTTTCGAGAACCTTTCGTCAGCTAGAATTACAACACTAACTGAAAAACGTGATATTTCAGCCGGCAAGTTTATTATTTCCGATGAACTATTGAACTTATAAATGAAGATAAAATCTGCTAATAAAGGAGGCGATGTTTAAAGAACTGTCAAGAATGGTTTAAACTGGACGGTGTCTCCGTTAAGAACTGTCTCTTACAAACGTTTAGACATTTCACAAACACCTCTGGAAACTCGGCTTTGTTCTTTTTTTTTTTAGCTGACGTAATAAACCCAAAAAATTCGGGACCTTTTAAAACTTCCAAATAGAAATAATTTATTACGAAACAAGAAAAGTTCAGTACAGTTTTGTTATTTCTAATAATATTTTTCTCTAGTCAGTTTCATTTTAGTCTTTTGCCGAACCTTTTAAACAAAGGCAACCTTCTATAAATGTCCAAACCTAGCGCCCCCTAAACTATTATACAATTGTTGGGGGATGATTGAATAATTTCCAGAAATGTAGAAATTAAAATAATCTACTTTTTTTTATTAACAGTAACAAAACGAGATATTTATATTTACGGAAAGCTCATCTAAAATTTATTTTGTGTTTGTACCCAACGTTTAACCTTCCCTTCTGTGGTCAATGTTTAACTAAATTTTGTAATTAGTCAACACGTGATTAAAAAAGAAACACTTCTTTTTTATTATTTTGTTTGTTAGATTTAATATACAGTTAACTGGTTTAATTTTTTAAAAAGCCAAGTTTGAACATAATCTACTATATTATTACCCATGTGTGTGTTTGTTAGCAGGATTTCTCGAAAACGGTTGAATTGATTTGGACGAACATTCGTATACTCTTAGACTACGAATCGTCTTAGAAGAAATTAGTTTTTTGAGGGTCAAGGTCACACGAAAATCCAAAAAAAAAATTAGAAATCTGTTAACATGGGGACCGAGTTTTCACGCTATTTTTGCTCTATAACTCAGTCAAAAAAGTATAGGATTTTGATGAAACTTGATGGATATACGTAGAATATTATTCCTCATCGTCATGCCGAAAATGATCTGTGTTCATTGATAACGACGGACATATGGACACATTTTCGTATTTGTTGAGAGCCGAATATGATCAACGCTGCATGGCGGAGGTATGCACTCTACTGTATAATTTTATTACTTGTTTGTTTATTTGTTTTTGAATTTTCGCGCAAAGCTACACGAGGGCTATCTGCGCTAGCCGTCCCTAATTTAGCAGTGTAAGACTAGAGGGAAGGCAGCTAGTCATCACCACCCACCGCCAACTCTTGGGCTACTCTTTTACCAACGAATAGTGGGATAGTCGT